TACCTACCTACCTACCTACCTACCTACCTACCTACCTACCACCTACCTCCCTACCTGCGTACCTACCTACCTACCTACCTACCTCCCTACCTACCTACCTACCTACCTACCGACCTACCTACCTACCTACCTCCCTACCTACCTACCTACCTACCTACCTACCTACCTACGTACCCATCTTTTATCTACCTTCCTGTTTGCATATTTATCTATCTATCCATCTATTTGTCTACCTATCGATCTCAATCTATCACAGCCTTTTTGCGCCCAACCTCCTCTAAACCCTCAACCCTACATAGACCCACAACCCCCAGACCCAGACCCGACTGAACCCTAAAACCTGAAGCCCTGGCCAATGGCACTTGGGGTTTAGGGTTTCTTAGTAAGTAAGATTATAGGTAAGGATATAATTAGGATAACCCTACTTAGGGGACCCGTGAATCCCACTTATTGGGTTTAGGGCTTAGGGTTTCTTAGTAAGATTAGACGGAAGGATATAGTTAGGATAACCCTACTCAGGGGGACCGTGAATCCCACTTACAAGCCCTACTTACTAAGTCCCTTGAGCCTTTTAGGCACCTCCCCCAAACCCTAAACCCTAAACTCTAAACCCTAATAAACCCGAAAAAAGAGAGATAAAAAAACAAAAGGGCTCACAGAGGACCACTGGTCCGACCCGGACGGGCAGCGTGCTCGTGGCAGCCACTACGGTGCGGGGAAGACTCTTGCAGAGACTCGGCCTCCTTTTGAACTAGGGTTTAGGTATCAGGTCAGGCTTTAGGGTTGGTCTTGTGGTTCACGGTTAGAGGTTCAGTATAGGATTTGGGTGTTCTGTATTTTATGGCTTAGGGTTAACATTTTGGGGCAGTTGTTGTTGATTTAGTGTTCCGTTTTGGCACAACCAAGGAGAAGGGTGCCTACAACTTCCTGCGCGAGGAGGGATGTCGGTTCCGCTTTGTCAGCATCTGCCCCACGATGATGCTGCGCTGCAAGGGTGTAGGGCTGGTTTTAGGTATTTCGGGCAGTCTGGGCTCTAAGCTCAAGCGCAAATCAAGAAGACATGAATGTAATTAATACATGCCAAAAGTCCATCTTTTGCTGCTTTCTGAGTGGCGAGGATTATTGGGCCGATGCTGCAGCCGACCCCCAACATGACCATGCTTTCTTTGCGAAACTGGTTTCAGAATGGGCGCCCGAATGGTGTGTGCCCCAACGACTCCATGAGCTTCGTGGATGTCCGCGACTGTGCGGAGCAGCATGTAAAAGCAATGGAAGACTCGGCCGCCAGTGGCCGATACATGAGTTTGGTACCCAGTTGGCACTGGAATGACCTGGACCACGCCATGCATGAGATGTATCCCTTGATGCCAAAGTCAGCACCGTGTGAGGGGACGCCATGCGCCTCGGCAGCCCTGGCCCTAGCACGTCACTTGCCATAAGGACCCTTATGATTTGGGTAAAACCGAACCTTCATGACTAAAACTTGCTTTTTGATGATAGAAAATAACCCTAAAACCCTGAGCCCTAGACCCTTGACCCGTTCCACCGCATGTGTCGTTGGGTGAAATCCAGGGTTCCAGGTTTTTGGGGGACCCGGTTGCCCTTAAAAACCCTAAACCCTAAACCCTAAACCCATAAACCCTAAACCCACAAATGCATAAACCCTAAACCCTAAACCCTAAGCCCCTAAGCCCCTAAACCCCTAAACCTTAAACCGAAATGTTTTAGGCTTTAGAGAGCTTGAAGCCGAAGTTTTGCAGCCTGTAGCAACTGAGTAGGTCACCTTTACCCTTTTGGGTTTAGGGTTTTAGGGTTTAGGGGTTTAGGGCTTAGGTTTTAGGGTTTAGGGTTTAGGGCTTTAGGGTTTAGGGTTTAGGGCTTTTGGGGGTCTATTATCACCCCACCATGAGTGAAAAGGTTAACTTTTTTGGGGGCTGGGGTATTCCGCGCCTCAGGAGCCCTTTTAATTATAGTTTAGTAAGCCATAACATATTATACTAATCCTTACACACCCCTAAGACCCCTAAACCCTTAAGGCCCTAAGGCCCCAAGGCCCTAAACCCTAAGCCCTTGTAGTACCCTTATAAATCCCTTTAAAGGAACCCTTATAACCCTTAAGGAACCCCTTCTAACCCTAAGGCCTTAAGGCCCTAAACCAGGCACGCCCACAAAGTTCGACCTTCGGCGGCAGCAGAGCCTGGGCGTCACACCGCGCGAGCTGCCAGAGACCCTTGGCGTCTAGAACAAAAGCCAGAAGCCCAGAGAGTTTAGGGTTTAGGGTTTAGGGGTTTAGGGTTTAGGGGTTTAGGGTTTAGGGTTTCGGGTTTAGGGGCTTAGGGCTTAGGGTTTAGGGTTAGTTGCCCAGAGAGCCCAATTTACAGCCCAAAAGGCTGAAGCCAGAATCCTTAACCCTAACTCTCAAGCCCTGAACCCCTACACCTTAACCCCTAAAGCTCTCCTCCCATAAGCCCCTAAACCCTAAACCCTTATCCCTTTAACCCTGCATCCCTAAACCCTAAACTACCCAACTCTAAACCCTACAACACCCCAGCCCGAAACCCTAAACCGAACCCTAAACTCGAAACCCCTAAAACCTATAGATCCCTTAAAGGAACTTCTGGCATGAGCCCTTTAAAGGACCGTAAACCCTCAACCCTAAACCCCCTAAACCCCTAAAGCCCTAAACCCCTAAACCCTAAACCAAAACCCAAAACCCTTTAAACCCCTAAACCCCTCAACCCCTAAACCCCTCAACCCCCTAAACCCCCCTAAACCCCTAAAACCTAAAGCCCTAAACCCAAAACCCCTAAAACCCTTTAAACCCCTAAAACCTTAAATCCTCAAGCCGAAGGATCCTTCGCGGAGGGCTCCGGGAGCTGATCTCCAGGGGTCTGCTGCCACCAGCGAGCCTCCCGGCACTGGGGCCAGGCAGAATCGGTGTTTTAGGATTCTGGGGTTTAGGGTTTTTAGGCAGATGTCTGGGATTCTGGGGTTTAGGGGTTTAGGGTTTTTAGGATTCTGGGGTTTAGGATTGAGGGGTTTGATAGGGTTTTTGGGATTATGAGGTTTAGGGTTTACTTAGGGTTTCTAGGGGTTTTAGGGTTTTCGGGTTTTAGGGTTTAGAGTTTTAGGGTTTTCGGGTTTAGGGTTTAGGCTTTAGATTTAGGATTCAGGGTTCAGGGTTTAGGGTTTTTTTGCAGTTTAGGCATTAGCGTGTAGACTTTGGCTTAGAGGTTTTTACATTGAGGACGTAGAGATAAGCGCTTTAGGGGTCAGGGTTGTGCAGCGTCCAGATGGGGATTTTTAGAGCTTAGCTTTTGTGGGTTTCACACAAGGGGAATTAGGATGTAAACATTCTGGAGTTGTGGGGTTAACCCTCAACCCCTAAACCCCGAAACCCGAAACCCGAAACCCCTAAACCCTAAACCCCTGAACCCTGAACAAACCCTGAACCCGGAGAATGTAGCGACCCAGTAACTTCACCCTTTTTTAATACCCCTTAATTAAGGAATACCTTGAATTATAAGCAGTTACTGTATAGGGTTTGGGGGTTAGGGTGTAGGGTTTCAGGAGCCCACTATACCCCTTCATTAAGAAATATAGCCTTAAATCTGGGCTCCTTTCAAGGCGCCTGTAAGGGTTGATATACCCCTCAGTTAAGGAATACACCTTAGATTTCATGTGGATTGAGATTATGCTTAAGCTATATGCCTTAATGAAGGGGTATTGGGAGGGCTCTATCGGTAGAAGCTTGAAGAATTTCCAACATTATGCCTTAGTGCTCCTTGCTGTCATTATACTAGAGTATGCTCAAAGCTTAGCTGAATAATTATGAGATGCACAAGACATCTACAGCTTCGATCAAATCAGACTTCTGTCCGCAATCACTCCAAACAACCTGTTTCAAGTATTGAATTAAGGAGCTGCCATATTCCCACTTTCTTGCGGCCGCATAAACTCAGTTGCTTAACAAGCCACCCCTCTATACCGCGAAACTTAAACCCCGAGCCCTAAACCCTGGAACCTGAACTTAACCCTAAACCCTAAACCCCTCTTCGACTCGTTGAGTAGACTTGTGGCCCACTTTTCATTTTCATGAACCCTTCTGGTAGTCTTGGGAATTTGGATAGCTGGGTCTTGCATTCTAGGGTTTAGAGTTTTAGGGTTTGGAGGGGTTTCGGGATTGCAGGTTTTCGTATTCTCAGTTCTCCCATCCCAACTTTGTAAATTCTTTGGGTTCCTCGAGGTTTGTCACTTTACATATTGGGGAACCCTAAACCGCAAACCCTTACCCCGAGCCTCCGCAGGTATGTCGGCAGCAAGAACAGGTGCCCCAGTAGAGCCCTGTTGCCCCTTCTCTTTGTGGGTCTCCTTATTAAAAACGCCAAGTAGTAGGAAAAGGGGTACCGTCATTAAGGGGCGACTGGGAAACCGGGAGGAGTTGCGCATGCTCCGCATCCTGACGGCAACAAAGCCTAAACCCTAAACCCTACCTGCAGCCGAAAAGACCTACCTTTCTAAGGAATTACATATCGAAACCATAATAAGGAATCCTAAAAGGTAGGTCTTTTCGGTTACAGGTAAACACAGAACCTCAGAACCAGAAATCGAAGCCCTAAAGTCCTAACCTTCGGTTTCGACCAAGGTTAGCGAGGCTGAAGCCAGTGGAGGCCTTTATCTGCCGCCTCACCGCGCCGGGCGTCGTAGAGAGTTGCTTGCAGCGGGCGTGAGGTAAAACAGCGTCTGGCGGTGTAGGGTGGCTCGAATGTTGATCAGCCCTCGTCAAAGAATGAAGAGAGTTTACCCATAGGCCCCTAAGTAGTTCCTTTTTATGGTTAAAAAAGAACTACTTAAGGGCCTATAAGTAGGGCCTATAGGTTCAGGCTTTTATTTTCCCAGGTTGAGGGTGCATTGCTTAGCGCTGTGGGTATTTTGGATTTACAGCGGTGTGCAACTCGGGCTAGATGCTTGGTCAAGCTTTCTGACTTATACAAGGAACAGTCCCTAAACCCTAAACTCTAAACCCCTAACCCCTAAACCCTAAACCCCTAAACCACTACACCCCTAAAGCCCTAAACCCCAAAAACCCTAAACCCCTAAAGCCCCAAACCCTAAACCCCTAAACCCTAAACCCTGCAGCTTGCACGTTTGTCCGTCAGTTTTGTTTACACCAAAGCCTCTCAGTTACTAACACGGTTGCAGGATCTCTACAGCCTCTTCTAAACCCTAAACCCTAGGCCCCCAAGTAGTTCCGTTTTATGGTTCCCGGAGGGTCCTAGGTACTGTTGGGGATACTTCCCCAAATCATAATAGTAATCCCTAATATGGAAACCCTACATTCTACATGTAGGTACTTAGGATCCTTTGGGGTTTATATTTAGAATCCTATAAGGCAATTCCAAAAATGAACTACCTAGGGGCCTATGGATAAACCCTAAACCCTAAGCCCTTGATGTGGTTTAAAAAGGGAGAAGAAGCCATGATTTTGTAGGCTGACCAAAAGCGAGGCCCTGTCGCCCCGAAGCCCCGTGTTTTTTCATTCGAAGCAGTATGGGACAAAGACGCCCTAAAGTCACAGTCGCCAGCGCCGAAGTCTTCGGGTTCAAGAGGGTTTAGGGTTTAGGGGTGCGGGGTGTTTAGGATTTAGGATTTTGGGTTTTTCGGGTATTTAGGGTTTAGGGGTTTCGGGTATTTAGGGTTTAGGGGTTTCGGGTATTTAGGGTTTAGGGGTTTAGGTGTTTCGGGTACTCAGCCCCCAAGCTTATACAGTACCCTCTGACACTTACAGCAAAATTCACCACCGTCACAGAAGTTGCATCAGTATGAGCCTACAGTCAGCCCATCGACGCCCATCACTATGCGCAAAACCGCAAACCATGAAAAGCTCAACCCTTAAGCGCTAAACACGAACCCCCCTAAACATCTAAACCCCATAAACCATGAAAAATCACCTGACCCTTAAACCTTCACCCCTGAACCCTAAACGCCACCTTAAAACCCCCGGTCCGGTGACCAGATTAAGGCCCAACGCTTGGTGGGCCAACGGCATTTGGGCCGCAGCAAGGATAGAAGAAATTAGCTATTCGTTTCTGGGGTTAAGGATCATGGTTTAGGTTATTGGGCCGCAAGGATCGCGAACTTATCTACTACTAGTCTTTAGGGTTGGGGTTGGGTTTGGGTTTGCCTAGCTACCAGTTTTTTTTTCCTGTTTTGCGGAGCATGGAGGGTTTTTGTTGCGGCTACCCCTCGTATCCGGGTTTCTTATAAGGGCTTTTACAGGGATATGAGGGCTTTATAGTGGCTACAATGAGGTGTGTATAGGCTTGTAAACCCTCTTCTAGATGAAGCTATGGTCACAGCATCTCTTGCTCTGTTCTGCATTACCCCAAGGGTCCAAT